GGCACCTTCTGTGCACTGAGCACTGTCCTGGAGAGGGTGAAGGCAGAGGCGATCCTCGATGTCTTTCAGACTGTCAAGAGTTTAAGACTACAGAGGCCACACATGGTGCAGACACTGGTAAGTGCCTCCTGCCCCACCAGATCCTCAGCAAGAATGTGCTGGGGGCTCAGTGTTGAGCAACAACCTCTTTGGTTCAAGGTTTTTGCTCTCCATGAAAGAGGGAGTGAGGGAAGATGTGGGTTCATCATCCCTGGAAGTGCCCAAGGCCAGGTTGGATGGGGCTTGGAACCATCTGGGACAGTGGAAGGTGTCCCTGCCTGTGGCAGGGGGTTGGAACAAGGTCATCCTTAAGGTTCCTTCCAACCCAAACCATTCTAGGATCCATGATCCATGAAGGTGGGCCGGGAGCTGTCTCCCCTTCCTCTTGTTACGACATCAAGTGCCCTCTAAGCACTGACAGAAGATGTAGGAACCTCCTTGGAGATCTCCTCAGCCACAGTCCATACATTAATGGGCTGAAACACCTGGAAAAGTGTCCTGGGGTGGCTGTGGAACCCTGCACATTGGTAGGGATGGAGCAGGTGGGGCTGGGTGAGGTTTTAGAAGAAAAATCTTTAGGGATCCGAGCAGAACCTCAGAGAGCAGAGGAGAAGTCAGAGTTTCTTTTGCCGTGAGTACCCCAGCAGGGGTCTGGGGGTCACAGGGAGGTGGGACCTGCTCTGGACACCTGAGCAAGCACGAGGTGCTGTCTCAGGTGTGGATTTTCCTGCTGTGACACCATTCTCTCCCAAATCCCACAGGAACAGTACGAATTCTGCTACAAGGTGGTGCAGGAATACATCGACGCCTTCTCAGACTACGCCAACTTCAAGTGAAGAGAAAAAACAGGAACAAAAAAAAAAAATCCACACCCACCCTCCCCGAAACAAATGACAGAAGAGTTGCCTTCTTTAATATTTTGTAATATTCTGTTTGTTAATATACCCCCCCAAAAAAAAAAAACCTATGTGTATATATCTTAACTGTTTTAGAGGTTGGTACCATAAGCTTCATATTAGCTGGAGATTTTATATGTAGCAAAGTGTTAGTGCAGATACTGTTGGCTCCTTTTTTTCCAATGTTTTATTGGGGAATTAAATAGCGTGATGTTTGGATTAATATTGTCATACCATCTCTCTTCTGGAGAGTTGATACAGGCTGTTATTTTGTTTGTAAATCTTTTTTTTTTTTTTTTTTTTGAGGGAAGCTTGACAGCACAACCAGTTTCTTCAGCATTTTCTGTTGTGAATTTTCTAGTATTTGTTTTATAAGAAACAATTAGTTATTCATTTTATGTGAG